CAACAGCCGTCTGTGAACAGGTTTTCCAAATTAATTGTAGACCTCCTATCTGCCAGTGCAGCTTCAGAATCTTAATACTTGGATTGTGCCAACTAAATAAGAACCTCAACATCTTTAGGTAAACTAAATAACATATTTCAATAGCTCTGAATTTCTGACAAGCATCCGTGTTTATTTTTAAATGAAATCCTATTTAAAATCCAAATATAATATGAACTGCTAATGTTTCTGGTAAAGAAACACACTAATGTTATGGATTCAAAAACAACCAAAATCACGATGCTAACAAAGTGAATGATTTCCTGGTGATACTGCTTCTACCTGTCACTGCTTAGATATTATCACGCTGAAAAAATGAATACAGAATTCCAACAAACTGTCATCAAATGTCTTTCTATTATAAATTTAGATGAAATGTATATCCCCATAATGACCTAAACAATAAAGTCTATGGCTTTTACTCCTTTACCGGGCTAGTTACATGATGTTGTCTAAATTAAATTCTGTCTCAATACACTACTATGTTTTAGCTTTAACTGTAATATGTTCTTTCTACATTTCAAACCTCAGTTACTCTAATGTCTGTTAAAATATTACAAAATGGTTTTATTATCACAGGTCAACTTCTTCGGTTTCACAGTAGCCCCTTGGCCACTGCTTCTGTGTTACCTGTTATAATTCAAATCAATATTTAGAAACATCTCAACATTCATCAAACAGTATCTTATCCCCAGATATGGAGCAGGTTAATTACATTCAATGCTCAGTTTGAACATCTGGGTTGGGGCGGAAGGTTTCTGTCAATCCTTAAAAGAAAAATTTAAATTGTGAATTTTACAGCCATGTTGAGATTTATACATTATACTCACTCCCCCCTTTTACACATGAAATAATGTGTAACAAAACCCTGTAATGGGAGGGGAACAAAAACTGTCAGGTAATTGGTTAGGGACATAACGAACATTATTTTAAATTTGACATCATTATCATTATTTCCACAGCGAACACTTCAGTGAAAAGAAGTGTTCCTCTCCGTCCTTCAGGCCTAAAAGAAACAGAATCTTCAGATTTTAGTTTTACATTTGCAAACCACCAACTCATGTGAGAGTAAAATATCACATGTGCGGTTTCCCCTTTTTGTGGAATTTTTAGGAAACCTCTCGTTTCCCTTGGAGCTCCAAAATAATATGTTAGTCCAAAAACATGCTTGGTTAGTTATTGTTTTAGAATCATGCAGTTACACTGATCACATGCCGGCATTCATTCACACTCACACTGTCTGGTTGTAAAGTCAAGTTTGGTCAGGTTCACCCCAGAGTCAGTCATCCACAGTGCCTTGTCAAGTTACACTGTCGGTCAGGGTCAAAGGTCAGTTGGTCTCCGTCTTTTTTGGCCATGTGTCGTGCTCTGCAGAGACTTTGACATTTCAGCATAGGCCAGTATCCTTTGTCTACAAAAATATGTCACGATTTCAACTATAATTTTCAAGATGATTCTCACTTTTCATTGGGACTTCCGCCTCCCACTTTTCCTGAAACTTGGTACAAAACTCACTTCCTTCGAGTACCACTACTACTGCAATCCAATTACACCTAATTAGTATTAAAATGTCTAATGATCTATTTCAGAAACTTGTGTACATAACTATTATCTTGAGTCAAAACATTACTAGGATCTGTGTCGCTCTGCATTTCATAGCTCATTATAATTCTGGTCTACTTAAAAAACAATGTTAAACTCTTTTAGCAGTGTGTGGAACCTTGGGTGTCCGAACATGCAACAATTACTCCCTCCTTTATCAAGGATTTAAAACCGAAGTCTGGTAATAACTATGCCACAATGGTGAAATCAACACTTTAGATTGGAATTTAATATGTGGCTTGGCACTAGCCATTAATACAAACAAAGATTTGTCCTATAGAGTGGTTCCTAAAACTATCCTTTTAATGGTGATCAATATTGTAACCAATGAGATCACTACTTTATTCACACGTGAATAAAAATGTCTTAAAGAATGAATTGTTAACCTGATGAAAATATTGAAGAATATGGTTATACTCTGTCAGTGTGTTTTAGGATGATTATCATTTTACTTTGATATTTTCCTCTTTACTGCTATTTTTAATTTACCAAATGATTAATAAATCCTTCTGTCTTTACGTATTTATGAAGTTAATTCAAGTTATTTAAATGTGCGTTTCGTGAATAAGTGTGTTTATGTGTAACTCACTCATTCCCGTTCTCCTTTTCTCCTCCCCTGGTTTTCTCAAGCCGTGACCCCGGCCTCCTCACTTCTAATCGACCATGCCAACTCCTCTGATTCTGTCTTCTCTTCAGTCCATCAGCTGTTGAATCCATCCACTGTAACTTTTGTAGGCAGCCATTGGCCCAGTCACATCTGCAGCCCCATCATGCCACTGTTGTTGCACTCCTCCTTTACAGTCTCTCTGCTGTTTTTATGGAGGGCGGATTCTGCTCTCATGTCTATTGTGCCAAATCTCGCGGCGCAGTTTGGAACTTCATGTCCTGTTTGAGGGACCGATGAGAGTTTGCCTCTTTGTCAACATGCTGGTTTGGTTCTGGATGCCACAGGTGGAGATAGTTCTGGCTGCAGTCTTGATGTAGTCTTGTTGTTGTTGTTGGTTCAGCTCTGGTTCTCTGTCTGTACGATGGAGAAGGAGGAGTCTCCTGTTGGGTTAGGTCTCGTTGTCTGCTTGGAGGGTCGGGATCAAAGCCTTTCTAACTCAGAGGGGGAGTCCAGGTCTCGGTACACATTACCTATAAGAAGTCTAGCACACTGATGTTAAATAAATCCAACCCTTTCCACTCTGTGTCTTTCTAATCATACTATCTGTCTTAGTTGTTAAATGCCATGTAAACAACATAATTAATGTCTACTTATGATATTACAAAAACTCACTCCAAAAATTGTTTCATCCATTGTTACATATTTACCCAACACAACTCTGAAATACTTACATGTTTCCAGCATTACATATTCCACACACTATGAAAGAACATCTCCATATCTTCTCTCATTTTAAATCCCACTGTTACTTCGAACAATAGTAAACCTGCAGAGCACACCAATCGGATCACAGTAATGAAATTTGAATCAAGTGTAGGCCTATGTCTTCTTTCTGAACATTTATTTATATTGTCTAAATTCCTTGTCTATGATGTGCAAACAGTTCGAGTGTAAAATGTGTTTTGCACAATGTATTTACACTCTACCGATTCTTGAGTTTACTCATCTCCTGGTGCTGTCGTTGTAAAAAATGTTCAATCTCTTATTGTTTTGTACCAGTTTTAGCTCGCAGAAGTTTCAAGGGTGTGATACCCCCTTTCAGCCACTAGATGGCAGCAGCAGAAGTTTCAAGGGTGTGATACCCCCTTTCAGCCACTAGATGGCAGCAGCAGAAGTTTCAAGGGTGTGATACCCCCTTTCAGCCACTAGATGGCAGCAGCAGAAGTTTCAATGGTGTGATACCCCCTTTCAGCCACTAGATGGCAGCAGCAGAAGTTTCAAGGGTGTGATACCCCCTTTCAGCCACTAGATGGCAGCAGCAGAAGTTTCAAGGGTGTGATACCCCCTTTCAGCCACTAGATGGCAGCAGCAGAAGTTTCCAGACAAAGGGAAACGCTCTCCCTTGGTTTAATATATAACAGACCTCTGGCTTTAAGCTTTTAGCATTGATCTGTTATTTAAACCCCAGTTTTAAACGGCGACTCGATCTGATATATCGAGTTTCCAGGTTTTGTCGTGCAGGAATCAAACCTCGCATTCACACAAACTGCACCATCTCCACGCCACTCAGGAATAATCTACCTGCAGATCCACGCCAAACTGCTCTATTTTACGTCACGCAGGACTTTCGTCTACCTGTCGATCAACGTTTACGTTTTGTATATAACTTTCCTAACATAGTAAAATATGCGTTGTATATTCCATTTAAACTATAAAAACACTGTGAAACGCCTACAGACAATCCTAAAGTTTTAGCGTATCCAATTACAGACAGGCGACTTTCATCGTCTGCTTACCTTATTTGCAAAGTTGCAGAGTCCTGCTGATTGTCTGAGATGTTTGAAAGCGTCTGAATTCTTCCTCAGCTTCGTTATATCTAGACGTCGGGTCACCATTTTGTTAGAGATTTGGAGGGATATCTGATCCGCTTTTCAAATCTCTGCGCGTTCCTATGAAGCTGGTTATAATACAGGAAGGAATCCATATCTACAAAGTAACCGTTAACAATAATCTACTTTAATGGCAATATGACAATGCAATACAATCATTACAATACAACATGATATATTACAGTTATATTGTAATGCTTAAGGAGTAATGCCGGCTTACTCCTGCACTCGTTCGCATACTGCAGAGCTACTTTCACCCGAGGGCAGCATGTGAAGAAGAGGCCGAACGCCAGGGATCCACCGGATATATACCAGAGTAAGAAGGAGGGGTTTGGTGTTAGGTCAGCTGGTCATCTTTTCAGGTCATCTCATTGGGAGACGCAACGCTGGCCAGCAGGAAACCAAACAGGCTCACTTTCCAACAAAAGGTCTCAAGGCCTGCATACCTACACCTCCCCCACAGAGCAATAAAACCCTGTTTACTCCAACCAGCCCAGAATGTTTATAGCCATTTGTAGTCCTTACATTTATGAAAGGATAAAACAGAGAAATCAATATAAAACACAAACACAGGTATTGTTTGAACAGTATTCACTTAACTGCTACTGTTGATAACCACCAGAGAAACCCAAGGGACCTCTCTTAATATTACAACCACTGTAGCTCGTTCTAAGTTGAATGCAAATCAGGACATGCTCTCACCTTCCCCCATCTTCCTTTGTCCTCAAAAACACATGTCAACAGGCCCCAAATGCAGCTCACAGTTTTACCCAAATTATTCCCATTTTAAGCTTATCCATAGTTTGCTAACATGAATAAATACAAATATAACTCTACAAGAGTCTGCTCATCCATTCGGCTAATGTAGTCTCTGCCTCAGCATCATCCTCCTCCCTCACCTCGTCTGTGATTGGTAGTCTGAATTGCCTTCCTGTTATGATCTCAAAGGGAGACAACCCTTTTGCCGTGGGTGTGATTCTCATGCATATTTCTACTTTCCTCTCTGTGGTCGCTCATTGCCTTGAGCATTGTCTGCAACATACTACACAGGCTCTACAAAAGTTTTTAGAAAATGTAATATAGTTGTATGTATGGAAGTGTTCATTTATTATTGTCACCATCCCCTCCTGTTGAGACATGGCACGGCCCATGACTCAAATGAGCTGCTGTTTAATAGAGACTAACAGGGAGTACTATCTTGTTGTTTATTCTGAATACTTCAGAAAGGTCAATGTGATGTGTGTGGACGTCCTCTTCTTCCTTTTCTACGTCTAGTCAGTTGTCATAACTATGTAGGTTATGTGAAGGGGGGGGGCCATGTCTTTCGTCTTTGTACTGTCCCTTTTGTCCCCCTTCTTTGTTCTGTGGTCTCTGTTCCTCACAGTCTCTCGCCATGTGCCCCTCCTTTCCGCACCTGTAGCAGAGAAATTTGCCTTCTGTGTTTCTGCCTCCTCCTCTGCCTCTGCCTGTTCCTCTATCATTCCCTCGTCCTCTGTTAAACCCGCCTCTCCCCTGTCCTGGTCCCACAAAGAAAATCTGATTTTCTTCCCCATCTTCTCCTATGAAGAAAGCTGATGCTGACGCTTTCTTATGTCTTTTTTCTTTGATCTGGGTTGCTGCATGTACTAATGGATAAGCATCACCCTGATATGCTGTTCCATCGAAGGATTGTTCTGCTTCTCTTAATTCTTCAACAGGATATAACTTGGTTTCCCCCTTATTTTTTCTGGTGTGCAGTGGGCTTAATGCATCTGCCATTTCTATGTCGATGCGTTTTTGTGTCTCTCTTTCCCTGTCTTTTCTCTCTTTCTCTTGCTTTCTTTTTATTCTTTGTTCCTGCGCTTTGTGTTCTTCCACTATCGCTCTCTCTTTCTCGCGGCGTACAGCGTCAACTGACCCTGAACGCCCTGTCTCCTCGTCTGCTTTCACTGAAACAGCCGCTGCTATCATACCTTCTTCTGCTTCACCTGTCCTTTTATGGGCTTGTTCAGCCCATAAAGCTGCAACTCGCAGTTGAGCTTCTAACTTCTTTCTTTTCTTGCCTTGTGTTGTTCCAGCTGTTGCTGCTCTCAATTTGTCGCTTAATTCTCTTACTGCTGTTTTCTCCAACTTTCCTCGGAAGCCGTACAGTTTATACCATTTGCTACAATAACTGGTGCTGCCATGACTATATATTTCCATATATCTCATGTCCCCTGTAGCGGCAGGCTTACTCCCATTGGACCCCATGATTCTAGCTTGAATCTAGCTCAATCTCACGCTCTGACGCTGCCCAAACTATTCTCACGCCAAAAACAAGATGAACGGCGATCGTTTTTGGTTGGTTATTTACAATTTTGAGTTGACAGCTGCTCAAGCTGTCGATCCGCTCCCTCCCCGCCCCCACCACTCTTAACAACGTTAACAGACAGCAGAGCAGTGGGAGCCGGTTGGTCAATCAGGTGTGTTGCGCATGCACAGATCTAAGATCCAGTAGAAATTATAAACAAGTAAAAGTCTGCTGCTTATTGTTCTACTAGGCCAAAATAGAGTCAAAGAGTATATGAGAGTGAGAGTGTGTTAATTAATATATTTGGCAGTTTGGAGTGAGTCTGTAGATTTGTTTGTGTGTGTGTTTCATGCCTCTCACGATAATTAATTTTGTTGGATACATTTTCCCGGAAATTATTGCGATAAACGATAATATTGTCGGCACCGTTGTATGACCATTTTAGACCACTGACATAATGTTAATATATAATAATAATGCAAGTACATCCTTTCAAACTGCTAGTCACATCCTCATGTAAATGGCAATTTATCAAGTTCATTTTTATTTATTGTAGGCTACGATAAGTCAATTAATTGCTTATCGCGACAGGCACACAATAAAACAGTGGAAACAAACATGTGTTTGACTTTCATTAGTGAATGAAACTTTGTGCCCTTTATAGTCTGTGTCCAATATTGTGTATTTGTATATATATCCTATATGCTAAGGTCCTGCTGCTGACACGATAGCAGTCATTTAGTGCGCATATGTGTAATTAAACCCATGATATCAAAATCTCACTCCAGCCAGGTGCCCAAAGTTGGCAACCCTGCATTAGCTTAGGCAAGCTCATTTAGAAAACACGCATTTTAAAAGGGTTTTTCGCCTGCCGTCTGTCTGCAGACTTGTCAAAGCATTAATTCATGGTTTTTACTAACCGGTATCAGTATGTTGTTACTTCGGCATCATTTAGAAACGTGTATTACAATTAAATCACGGTCAAATATGTTCATTTTGTTGTAGTTGTAGCCCCCTTGCCAGCGATTCTCTCTCTAGTTTAGCATACTCAGCCCGACTCAGCCTGGTTGTTGGCCCGCTAAGAACCTCGATTTTATGGGGCCAGCAAAACTGTGAAATAGTACCCGCTAGCCAGAACTACGCTTCTTTCTTTTCTTGCCTTGTGTTGTTCCAGCTGTTGCTGCTCTCAATTTGTCACTTAATTCTCTTACTGCTGTTTTCTCCAACTTTCCTCGGAAGCCGTACAGTTTATACCATTTGCTACAATAACTGGTGCTGCCATGACTATATATTTCCATATATCTCATGTCCCCTGTAGCGGCAGGCTTACTCCCATTGGACCCCATGATTCTAGCTTGGTGTTCCTACTGGACAACGTGCCGGTCAGAATATAATTCCTAATTCACCACTACGTGTACTTCAACAGACCACAGAGTTTTTGTTATCACCGTTAGGTTTCCACTCTGTGCGCTGATTCCACTTGGTGACACTTTTACACACTGCTTTCACTCAATCACTCATAAGTGTACCCAAAGGCACGTCGATCCTCCTCCTAGGCGGAGTAGCCTTTCTCTATCAACGTTTTATCAACCTCCTTAACGGCGGAGTAGCCTTTCTCTATCAACGTTTTATCAACCTCCTTAAATGGCGGAGAAACCATGTATATCAACTTTTTATCTTACCCGTTATCTGTGGTCACTGGTCCGGTTGGATTCCGTCAATCGTGCCGAGGATGAGGGAGGTTGGACATATAAGCACCGGCCCGGCCACGAATTCTGCGTCCCGGGTCTTTCTCGGGGTCGGCTGATGATCCCGGCTGTCGACAGACTTGCGGCGTGTCTTTTCCCTCCTCCTTCCCGTCACGATGTGTTGGAATCCAGCTCGAAGGACCAATTAATGTGAGGTATTTCTATATTACTTTGTAAGGGTAAACCCCAGCTCGGTTCAAATATACCAAAACCCAGTGAACAAAGATAACAGTACTCGAGTTTCAAGTTTACTTGCTGCAAGGAGAGTCAGCGAGTGACATGCCATGTCAACTCCTTAACCAACTCCCAGCTAGGAGAATCGGCGAGTGACATATGCCATGTCCACTCCTTAACCAACTCTCAGCTAGGAGAACCAACTCTCACCCGCCTTCTCTCAGTGCAGTCTTTTTATTTCAACAAACAGTAACATGAGACAATCATGTGGTCTTGACCAACGCCTTATTTGTTAGTGTGGATCTTGTGACTGTCAGTCATGTGAATCTGTGTGTGTGTGTATGTGTGCCATTTTAAACACTCTTCTTTGTTCCTCCATTAACACTCCTTGTAACACAGCAATGAGAATACATTATGAAAACACAGTTTATGAAAACACTTTTATCCTTCAATAAACTCTAACACCCCCACTCCTCGCACTCCGCCACTCCGCTTACGCGATTACCCAGATACGCCATATGGCGGAAGTTTTCCAAAGCATAACCCGCTTAATTTTATCACGAGACTGCAAACATCTCAGGATATTAATCCTGCTAAAACTGTAACCGCGCCGAAAATTCTGATAGGAGAGGTTCCAGTTTTTAAGCCCTGGACACCCGCTGAGGTCATTGATGTCACTAACCACACTCCCAGTCCCACTAAAAGTCCAGATGAGTATCTGTCATGGTTGACTAATGTCTGCTCAGTTTATAACTATTTGGTTCATGATGTTAAACAGCTGATAATCTTAACATACAAAGCAGATTGGCCCACGTGCAGAGACAAGTTTAAATTTCCTGAGTGTACGGCCGCAGGAGACTGGCCCCCGACACAGACGCGAGACATGTAGATACAAAACGTCGCTGCATTGGCTATCAGAGCATGCGCTAAGACTCACACAGATTTTTTCCAAGTGACGGCTTGTGTACAAAACCCAACAGAAAATGTCCCAGAATTTATCCAGCGTTTCATGACAGTGTGGGATAATAATGCGGGCATTAAAATATAGGGTAATGATTTGTTTGCCATACAGACCTTGTTACATAATTTAATCCCAGAGACAGCTCAAGCCTACATGATGGCGACTCCTGAATGGCAAGTTAAAACCTGGAAACTAACGATCGCCACAATGCGGGCTCTGCATAGGAGCCAAATATTTCTTACCCCCAGAATTGCACAACTGCTTCAACAAGTTCCTCAAAATACACAGGCTTATCAAACTGGAGAAAACACACAACAGTTTCAGGGACACAGCAGTATCAAAATCAGGGAAGATCACAGGATTATCAAAATAAGAGCAGACAGCAGCAGAACAAAAATTCAAAAATGTTTTACACCATGTCATGTTTGCGGAGCAACGGATCACTGGGCAGGACAGTGTGATAAGCGGTGGGGGGTCCAGCAGCACACACAGCCCCCCCTTACCCAGCCCCCCTTTTCCCAGCCCGCCCTTCCCCCCCCCTTCCCCAGCAGTCCAGACATCCGGCATTAATGCAGCCCCCACGGTATGACAGACAAACTCAACAGGAGCAAAACGGTCAGCAAATTGGATTTAATAGAAGATAGGGGTGCCAGGAAGAAATAGGATCAGATTCACAGCATTTCCCCATTCAAGCAGCAACAATTCGCCTTTCCAATAACCCGCGTGAAGATCCGATTATGCCCGTTGATTTTAGTGGTACGGCTGTAGATATTTTGATTGACAGCGGAGCCACATTGTCTGCCGTGCGTACTAAGGAGAAAGTGTGTGAAGCAACCAATAAGTTTGTTACAACAATGGGTGTGGCTGGAATTTCTATGTCCGAACCCATTTCAGAGAGCACTAATGTATCAATTAATGGATCATGTCTCTTATGCGACCTGTGTTGAATTGTCACTGCACAGCTGCACAGCTGCTTTTAACCCGTCAGATACTACGCGCGATCAGTAAGAGGTTTTTGCAACAGCTCAGATCGGTTGAGATGTGAGCAATTTTTGTTCATTGGCCAACAGGGGTGTGCATTACCCCTCAGGCTAACACCCTCACAGCAGGGCTTTCATGTTGAAGAAACCCTCCCCTACGTCACAGTGGCTGTTACGCCAGGCAGTAATCCAAAGGAGGTGGGGGCCATGGCAGCCCGCTGCCAGGCCCAGCTGGAAGCCACACTTTCCCCTCTCTCACACACACACACACACCTAACGTAATTAACTTTGGAGGGGAGCATTTCCTGCTGCGTCTCGCGGAGCCAATTGCTCTTCCCCAAAGCACCTTCCTTCATTTACAACCAAACCCCCCCACAGAGTATGGCACCCCCTCAGATTTTTCAGAAGTCCCGGCTACATTATGGGCCAAACACAAGAACCATGTTGGCTTTGTCAGCTCAGCTCCTCCACATCGAGTAACACTTAAAGCCAACGCCAGATTGCCTGCCATCAGACAGTACAATTTACCCCATAGAGCCATTTTGGGGATTGAAGGAGTCATCCAATCTTTGCTCGATCCCTAAACACAATCGCCCTGATGAGTGGCGCTTTGTCCAAGATTTGCAAGCTATTAACGCTATTGTCATTCCGACAGCTCCAATAGTGCCTGACACTAATTCTATCCTTGCTTCTCTGCCCCCAGACTCTAAGTACTACACAGTGATTGATTTGTGTTCAGCGTTTTTCTCTGTTCCTCTGCATCCAGACAGCCTGTATCTGTTTGCATTTACTTTTAAAGGTAAACAAATCACATACACGCGCCTCCCACAGGGGTTTGTTGAATCACCTACGGTGTATGCAGCAGCTGTTAAGAGAGATCTGGACACTTTGGTCCTGACAGGTACCTTGCTTCAGTACGCAGATGACCTGTTGTTAGCTTCTCCAAATAAAGACGCCTGTCGCATCGACTCCATTCTGCTCATGAAAAGACTTTCTGAATGTGGACACAGAGCATCCCTGGCCAAGTTGCAATACTGCCAGACTGAGGTCACGTATTTGGGTCACATTCTGAGGGATGGACACCGTCTCCTCTCGCCAGCAAGGATTTGCCTGTTGAACAAAGTACCACCACCTCGCACAAAGAAGGACATGCTTTCCTTCTTGGGCATGGCAAATTATTGCAGACACTGGATTTTTGAGTATGCTGCGATGGATTCTGTCCTGCGTGCTGCCACTCTGCAGGCTGCCCCTAACATTGTTCAATGGTCTGAGGACATGCACACTGCCTTTCAGGACTTAAAGTGAGCCTTCACATCGGCTCCTGCCCTAGGTCTACCTGACTACCATCAGCCGTTTTACCTGCACGTCCATGAGAAAGGGGGCTTTGCAACGGGCATCTTGGTGCAGAAGCATGGCTCTAATTTCCGGCCTGTTGCGTACTACTCATCTCGACTCTCCCCTGTGGTACTTGGTATGCCTTCATGCCTGCGTGCAGTAGCTGCAGTTGCGATAGTTGTAAAACAATCCTCTCCCATTGTACTGGCCAGTGACTGTGTAGTACATGTCCCACATGCAGTTTTGCATATTCTGAACACCTCTGCTACTCAGCATATGACGGCAGCAAGGTGATCTGGTTATGAAGCAGTAATTCTTTCAAGTCCACACATCACTCTTAAACGTTCCCCCCCCCTAAACCCAGCTACACTGGTGCCAATTCCAGATTTTGAAATAACACATGACTGCGTCACAACGATTGACATGTCTTCCTCCCCCAGAGCTGATATGTTGCAAACTCCTATCCCTAATTCAGATATGATTCTATACACAGACGGGTCTGCGAGCAGGCCGTCTGACACAGTACACTTAGCAGGCTATGCTGTTGTGAATGACTGGGAAGTTTTAGAAAGCCGAGCCTTGCCAAATGGCACGTCAGCTCAGGCTGCAGAGTTGTATGCTCTGCTTAGGGCGTGTATTTTGGCTGAAGGTAGAGTTGCAACCATTTTCACAGACTCCAGGTATGCATTTGGTGTGTGCCATGATTTTGGTGTCTTGTGGAAAATGTGCGGTTTCTTAACATCGGCTGGTAAGCCTATTCAACATCATGTGTTAGTAGCTGAGCTATTAGACGCTATCCTGCTCCCTGCACAGCTAGCAGTAGTTAAATGTGCTGCTCACACAAATTCTGATGATCCTATTTCGCATGGAAATGCGTTAGCCGACACCGCGGCTAAACAAGCAGCAGTTTCCTGCTCTTCTATGGTGCTACAATGCCCCTCGACACAACCCGCAGAACCTATTTGTTTGCCTTCCTTTAATGATGTCGCGGACATGCAAGCCCGCGCTGATGTTAGGGAGAAAGATTTATGGCTAAGACGAGGTTGTACACTTGACGCTGAGTCCAGCTTGTGGCTCCACCCAGACGGCCGGATGGTTTGTCCCCGTTCGTTCCTCCATGTTTTGGCACATGTTGCACATGGCAAATCACATGTAGGAAAAGGAGGGATGAATGGGATTATAAAGTCACAATGGTTTGCTCCAGGCATCACACTAGCTACACAGACCCTTGTAGATAGATGCATGATATATGCCAGCAGACAAGAAGAAGAAATGGTCCAGTTCAGCATGAACACTTACCGCCCCCCTCGGGGCCCTTTGTAAATATGCAAATTGACTTTTCGCACATGCCACCATGCCAAGGATTCAAATATCTTTTGGTAATAGTGTGCCAGTTCTCCAAATGGGTAGAGGCCTACCCTACCAGAAAAGAAGACGCTAGAACAGTTGTAAAGTGTCTTCTCAAAGATGTTATCCCTAGATTTGGTGTTCCAGTAGGGATTAACAGTGACAGAGGTCCAGCATTCATTTCTAAGATAACCCAGAGTCTAGCTACAGTGTTAGGGTTCAAATGGCAATTGCACGTTCCCTATCATCCACAGAGCTCAGGTCAGGTTGAGAGAATGAACTTGACTATAAAGGAGAAACTCACTAAAACAATGTTGACCATAGGACTAAAATGGGTAGACGCGCTGCCGCTAGTTCTGTGCTCCATCAGAAGTGCACCAAATGCAACGACAGGGCTTAGCCCACACGAAATATTGATGGGAAGGGCAATGTTCACAGGGTCTAGCCCCCCAGTAATACCCCACAGACTCACTCTTTTGTGGACAGATGATTACATGACTAACTATGTCAAATATCTAACTGACATGTTGAGAAAGTTTCACAGGCAGGTGGCTGACAGGCTCCCTCAGCCTGGAGAGGGGCCCACCCACCCTTTTCAGATTGGTGATAATGTACTAATCAAATCGCTTGAAAAATATGCTTTGTCTCCCAGGTGGAAAGGTCCTTTCCAGGTGTTAATAGTGACCAGAACAGCCCTGAGAGTACAAGGTAGAGCGGAGTGGATTCACGCTTCCAGATGTCGTCTCTCTCCTCTACCGGATGCTGGCGTGTGAAGGCAGTCATCATCATCGTCGTTCTGGGTTTACTATACCTGGCCAAGGACGCCTTGCTAGATGAAGCTGTGAAAATCCCAACGACAGGTGGCGGGGGCTCTCGCCCCTCTGAGGGAGAAAATAAGGTGCCCTTATCTAAGAGCGCAGACGACTTGACCACTCAGGGCCCAGACCCTGAGGGCAAAACAACACCAACGGGCAAATCAGTGCCTAGCGACAAGGACAGGTTGTATCCAATCACCACACAGACATTCAGTATGGTGCAAGAGACACAAAGAGAGAGAAAAGGAGGGAGAATAAGGAGGATTGTCTCCCTCCCTGATCATAAGTCAGAGACTATTTCTTTTAACTACCCAATTTCAATATGTGACTCATCTAACTGTATTATTGTGTTTCCTGTGTCCTTAGTTTACCCAACGTGGGAGATGTATCCAAAGAACCAGTACCATTGGTTCGGGGTCTCATCAGAGGTGGTAAGAATGGCTCTCAACACCATTGAAGAAATGCCCCCAGAACTGTGGTGTAGCACTGTAGAACAGTTCAAGACACTGATAAGGGATAAGGTAAAATGTACAATGAGGAAACCAGATTACCAGGTTCCCAATCCAGGTGCTACTGCATGCACATTTATTGGACCAGATAGCAAAACAAATGTTCCATCTACTCCACTTAAACAATCAGGAGGTGATGTTACTCCACTTAAACAATCAGGAGGTGATGTTACTCCACTTAAACAATCAGAAGGTGAGGTAGATTCTTCAAAAAAGGCCTTAATTACTCCTTTTAAACGAACTAAAACTAATTCTGCAGTAAGTTTAATGTTAGACTACGCGCATGAACGTAATGTTAGCAACTGTTGGTTGTGCCAAAATAGGCCAGAATCAATGCATTCTCCTATGTTTAGCCCAATTCCTTTCACAAAAGCTGATTACGGTTTAGTAAGCTGGAATGACATAGCATCCAGAATTAGCGACGAGGCGGAGGATTGTTATACTCCTTCCTACCCCATAGACTCTGAGCAACCTTTACAGTACAAGGGCTTAGTCTCTCTCATTGTTGATACAGTAAATAAAAATTACCTGCCTGACGGTTTCAAACGGTTGATGTTTTTAAAACTAATATATATGAAGAAATACGTTAACCTAGCTTTTGAATATAGATTCCAGTTAGCTCTAGCTCAGACTAATTGTTCGGCTAACGTCACAAGTCCATGCATAATGCAACCACACACACCCGCTTTGTTAGTTGAAGCTTTGGTAACAGTTGTGCCCTGGTTTGGCTCTAGAACAGTGGACTCCGTTGAGGTTAAAATACATGACTGTACGCAGCCAATACCCTTAGGCAAGCCCCCTACACGTGACTGCTCAGTATATGTCCCCCCAATTGTGGTGCATGAATGGAAGAATGTGTCCATCTGCTTCCAGAATGAAGTAGGATCTCACACCTCTCCTGATGTGGGACACAGCGACTGTAATACCATAGTGAGAGTAAATTTAGCCAGAATTCCCCTCCCACAGAGAGTTTACTTAGTTTGTGGGGATCGCGCGTACGGCTGTGTGCCATATGACGTTTTTTATGGCACCTGTTATCTAGCCTACCTAATCCCTTTAATCCGTAAAGTAGAGGCTAAGGAGATCGCAGCGATTCTTCCCTCTCTACACAGGAACAGCAGGTCAATTACACAAGGACAACAGATAGCTAGCCTATTTTTGCCTTGGTACGGTATTTATGTTACTCAGCAGGAAATTGTGGCACTGTCCAAAGTTGTAGAACACCATCTAAATGTATCTAACACAGCGATGTTAGCTGAACACAAAGAATTGCAGTAAGTTAGTACAGTAGCACTACAGAATCGCATGGCGCTTGATCTCCTCTTAGCTGCCCAGGGGGGCACATGCAAGGTGATAGGATCGGAGTGCTGTTCTTTCATCTCTGATGCCACACCTGAAGTTATGGATATGGCTCATGATACTGCCAGGGGGATAAAAGAATTGCATGAAACTCATGGGTTTACATTTGGAGAGTTAAGTGGAACCTTTGGATCCTGGGGAGCGGGGTTGGTTACATTTGTTGTTACTGTTTCAGTGTTTATCTTGGTTGTGCTAATCCTAGTGATCTGTTTGATCACTGTAGTTAAATTAGCCATACGAAGGGTTGCCAAGACTGCACTCCAGGCCCCACAAAGGCTAGTGGGGCATTCGACTGTAAATGACACAATATTAATGTACAACGCTGAGCTTCCAGATCCCTGGGTCTCCATCGCGGTTTCTGACCCATGGGTACCCCCGTTCAGCGATTGAGAAGTTGATTACAGTTGATATTCTGAATAAAGAACAGATGTTTTGATAATTGATTACAGTTGATACTCTGGATTAAAGAACAAATGTCTGATTTTTCATTTTCAGGTTGTTATACAAATAAAATGTCTGATTCTTCCTTTTCAGATTTTTAACAAATGTATTTGAATGAAATATATGTATCACTAAGTGCCTTACTCTTGAATAAAGCGTAATGAAGTAAACGTAAAGTAATGTTAAAGATTGCAGATTGATCGATTCATCACTGTGAATTTATACCTTAACTAGGAACCTTAGCTGGATCTCTCATGATTCTGTTTTAATACCTCAATTGGATTTCTTATAATCCTAAATTCTAATTGTGTTTTTAATAAGTAATTGCCTTGAAGTAAATCTTTGAGATGTAAGCTGATTTAGAATTTGTGTTTGATGAATGAGATTAACTGAGTGATAAATGATAAAAGATCTTATTTTTGAAACATATATTTAGCTATTATATTTTTGTATTTCACGTGTGTTTATTATTGTGCTTTTTGACAAAAGATGCCAAACATTGAAGAGAGATGATTTTATTATGATTGACTGTGTTCAATCATGGTGATTGAAGTGTTTTCAATCTTGTTTTACTTTTTGATGTAATTGATGTATCTGAGCGCACCCAACTCTGAAGACGCTTATTGATTTAAGTATTGACTGAAATATTCTTAGACTAATGTTAATTGGTTATCAATAGATTGATAAAAAGAGTGAAACTGTAAGAGAATATTTTAATCTGATCTTGATCATAGAGTTTCTTATCTTTTCTTAGAATCTGTGATATTGCAAACATTCTTTGTATTAAAGTCAAAGCTCCTCTCTGTAAGTTGAGGTCACAGGTCAAAAGCTTCTCCCCTTTCCTGTGGGGGAAGGGTCCCTGCCTGCATGCAGTTTGCGAGACAAACAGATTATTGTCTCACATCTGCTATTGATTAGGTGAAACGCGGGTTTCTGATGGCTCCGCCTCTTCTCATGTTGATGCGTGCTGTGGTTTCTTTGTGTCAGAGATGACTTGGTAGACCACAGGGATGTGTGAAACTAAGAAATCTCCCCGGCTGTATTAAATGTACTTGTAAATAAACTCTCAGTGCTTTGGCTAACGACGATCTTGTCTCATTCATTCCACCTCAACATTGCAACATCAGAATTTTCCTTCACATGTATGTTTTCTAATAGTGTATAAAAGTCACATCCTACAAATAAATTCACTTGCATAGAAAGTCAAATGTATAGTATTTAATGCAAATGCTGATGGTATACAACATTAGAATTCATGTTCTTTCCATAAAGTTCTCTCCCATAAATTAGATACTACGTAGATTAAATCGAATGTGATGCAAATGCCTTATTGGTAACAATTAATCTTATTCATATATTAGTGATGGTTATCCTTCTTGTTCTTCCTCTCATTATTCTTCATCAGTGTTGCTCACATGCAGGGAGCTCCAGAATAGCCTCCTGTTGGGTGGCATGAGGGGACCAAGCTTCTTGAGGATATCCCTCTTCTTTGCCTCCTCTATGCCTTTGTCTTGTGGCCTCAAGGTGGTGGGTATCTTTAGCTGACATTTCTTTTGCAGGAAATCCAGTTCTGTGAAGTCTTCCTCCTCATGGGATATTTTCACAAACATACTCCTTGATCCACGTCGCAATTGGACAACTTTAAGGTCTGCCAGTTTGGGTAATTTCTTCGATTTGACTGCAGAGTGGCCATCCGTCCAGTCCCTGATGCCTTAATTTTTTTAGCTCCACCACCTCAACTTTCTTAGAATTAGAGTTTCCCACCACAGAGAGGAAGTCGTCAAAATCATAGACCACTCCTCCTGGTCTGCTCTTCATCTCCTGCTCCACGCCATGATGGAAACTGTCCGCACTCATAAATATGTGCCCTGGCTGAAAAAACTTAAGGGTGATGTCTTCAGTTGAGATGGTCTGCGAGTTGACTATGGACACAAGTGAAGAGAAAAGGCACCAGTTTTTATTTTGAGAGCTACAATTGTCTACCCAGTAGACAATATGCTTGATGTCCCGCTCCTTCTCCAATGCTGCTGCATAGGCTGATGTTATTTCTGCAGCACTCCGCCCTGCAATCCCCTCGTGCCAGACAACAGAGATGGTATTCTTTTTGTTGGTCTTTTTCCCAACTGACGCGAAGGTTTCATGATAAGCCACAATCCGTCTTGTGAAGACAGCTGACTTAACACCAGGCATTCGTGGGAGCATGATCACCTTCTGCAGATCCCACACTTCTGGTCGATGTATCTTCAGGCCAGTCCCGTTCTGCATCTGACTGGTAGTGTAGCCTGCTCTCTGTTGCGGAATCTTTATGTATTTGCTACTTCTCACACTGCGGGCAGTTTGCTGCAGCCTCCCCCTGGTGGTCAGCCTTCACATGCTGTTCCTGCAGCAGACAGCTCTCACACTGCTCTTCTCCAAGCTTAGTAAAGCTAATGTTCAAAGACTTCACAGCCTTTCGATATGACTCGTAGGAGCACTTGTTGTCCTTTTCTATGTAGTCAGCATACATGAGTTTCATGCTAATGTCACTGGGGAGGTAGCGGCGCCATGGGGCATGCTCCCTGCGGTAGTGGCTGACAGTCGGGTGGAAGGACTCAATGTGCTCATGCAATGGCTTCTGGTCCAGCTTGTTGGCTGGTGCATGTCTCCCTCTCTGATCTTTCGGTGGAGCAAGAGGAGTTGAGATGTCTTTGCCCATCACTGAAAGGACCAGGCTGTCGTTGGTTGGGTGGTACCCTAAAGTTGAAAGAAAGAACATTTTGCACACCTGCTGTGGGACCTGGTCTTCATCTTTCAGCCTGTAGATGAAAGACCTGCCCCGCCGACTTGGTTTTCCATCACCACAGACTTTAGCGGTCGGTACCTGGCATACACTGTGAAACATGAAGGAACGTTTCTCAGGGTATGGCATATCCCAGTACTTGCCCCAGATTTCTCTTCGTCTGTCCTCTGAACATTTCTCAGAGCATTTTCTTCTGCATTTGGGGCGACATGGTTGTCTTATTGGTGGTTTATGAGTGGGCTCTGGGGGAGGAGCAAGAGTGGGCTGTTGTACTGTGGCTTCAGCAATGGCAGGCTCTGATGCAGTTAGTGGAGCAAGGGTGAGGTATTCTGGGGCTGGAGCAATGGTGGGGTCTGGTGCTGTGGCTTGAGCAAGGGTAGGCTCTAGTGCAGTTAGTAGAAGGGTGGGCTCTAGTGCAGTCAGTAGAAGGGTGGGCTCTAGTGCAGTCAGTAGAAGGGTGGGCTCTAGTGCAGTCAGTAGAAGGGTGGGCTCTAGTGCAGTCAGTGGAAGGGTGGGCTCTAGAGCAGTCAGTGGAGGGGTGGGCTCTAGTGCAATCAGTGGAAGGGTGGGCTCTTCAGGGGCTGGAGCAAGGATGGAGTCAGGTGTGCTGGTGATAAGCAGATCATCTGCTCTGTAAAACAGCTCATCATCAGTACTGATGTCATTGTAATTGTCCAGAATTGTCCACTCCTTCTCTTCTAGTTCTTCAGCAGGGGGCTGCATTTTGTCTGCATTTGGCTGAATTTTGCAAGGAACATCCACACAAGAAACTGAAATAAATAAAGAAAGTAATAATTGGAGACATGCATGGAAAATGTATATTGTAATAGGCCTTTGTAAACATACACCCATCTGTGACTGTCACTCATCCGGTTTTTTTCTAAATACATATAGTATACATACAAATAGTATATTGAATAATGCAGTGTGGGCTAATTGATAGAAATTCACATTAATTAACCTGCACCCCATTCTTAATCTTACTGTTTTGTGACTTTCAATTTATATCAGAGTTCCCGTTAGCCGGTAATTACCGGACTATGACCGGTAAAATATGCTGAAGACCGGCGAATCTAAATCTCTCCGGTCAAAATAATTTCCCCTTAGCGCAATACCGCATCAGTTGCGCCACTTAGCCTATGTGACAGACAAGAATAGTATGTGCCAGAGCCATATAATAGAAGAGTTACGACAACGGAAGTCCAAAAACGGTTATCGTCACGTGGTTCATGTAGACGAGGATCGTTCCCCGGAAGTTCATGGCGGGCAATGTGAATGCATTGATAACAGGAGATAGAACTACGATTTTTGGTAATTATTAGTGAATAAAGGTTTTGATTTGCAATATTTATACAACAAATCGATGTGTATGTATTTACATCAATATGTTTTTAAAAATAAAATAGAATTTGCTAATATTAAGTGATAATATTAGGATTAGTGTGAACAACTAGTTTACATGTTAGGCTAACAGTGCCTTGGTTAAAGAGCCTGTTGCTGTTTATTTATAGCTTTGAATTCTTTAAAACCAATATTATCTTCTTAAACTTGTATGGTAGTCAGGAGCATCACTTTCTAATGTTTATTGATATATTTAGAGGGAGGGGATCTAAAGTAATGCTTTAAAATTCAGATTAGATTAATGTCTACCATTTTCTTAAATTCATGGTAGTTTCAGTAATCCCATGGTAATTGAGGACACAAGTTATCTAAATGACTAATGTCATCTTTATGGCTTTCAGAAAGGACAGGAGACCGACAGGTGACTATCAAAGGACTAGCAGCAGCAGCATGATGATGATGTTAAATGTGTTGTTTTAGGAACATCCATTGCAAATACATGGAATTCAATAAACATTGAATAGCATATCATGCAGTTTGTCTGTGCCTTTTCCTCCTTGTTGTCCTGGTTTGCTGTGCTGCCTCCTAGTCGCCACCATGGTTTGCTGTGCTGCCTGGGGATGCTCCAATCGCTCAGAGAAAGGAGTACGAATGTACAGCTTCCCCACTGACACAGAGCGGAGGAAGCAGGAGCAATTTCACGACCAACAGCAAACAAATATGTGATTTATATACAAACACTGCATTTGCACTTTTTCACAAAACGAAAACCACACCATTGGGAAAGCTTAATGTTTTGTTTAATACAAAAAACAGGGAAAGGCTTGAAAAACACTGAGAGTTGAGACTCAGGGTGCAGGGTGAGGGTCTCAGTGCAGGTATTCAGGCTCCATTGAATCCCCCTCTGGTTCTTGTGCTGAAAGAGGGATAAACAGACAGGAGAAAGGGTTATACACACCTATATAGCACACCTATTGGATGGGAAATTGCCTTGGGGAGATAAGGTGTG